AGGAGAGGGTGTGGCCAAGTGTGGATGTGCTCTGAATCCAGCTTGCTTCGAAAGCATTTATACGATAAAGCAGGGCTTTTAAAGACACTGCAGCGAATACGTCTGCAGAGAACGCACAGATCCCACATGTCAGCTGTCTGAGCTGAAATCTCTATTTTATGATATTTACCTTCAGTGTAGCAACACACAGAAAGAGCCTTCTGAAATGTCCCATTCACAGTGTAATCAGTATTAATAGTGCTGGTGAGCTGATGCATCCAATTTAACAGGGTTAAATCAGCTGCTGTGGAAGGAGTACACTTCTTCTGTATATGCTTCATGAATCATTCCATCAATCCATGTAATTGATTAAATTGATTAATCAGCGAGGGCAGAGAAGGAGAGGAGGTGATGGATGGCGAGAGGGATGGGACCCATCAGAATGAAATTCAAGAGCTGAAGTTTAAAAAGGTCAAAGGTCACACAAGTGACATTTATAGGCATAGCACCCTCTTCGTTCTTGATGTTAGGAATAACCTTTATCAAAGGTTCATGAATGTGTGTGTGTTTGCCCGTATGTGTGCGTGCATCGCCATAGATACATTCCACTTAGGTTCCTTGCCCCTGTGATCGTGTTTGGGTAAGTGATGCCAAAGCCCAATAATAAATCTGTGCCGCAACTATCATCGATGACCTGAAGGTTACAGTTTCATTAAGTGTCTTCCACTTTGATTTTCTCATCCCTCATGCCCTTCTGCTCTCCTGCCTGCCTAACTCCCCACTACACCTAGTAAAGATGCTCTGAGAGGCAACGTAGACACGGATAATGAGAAGGGGGGGGGGGCTTAAATAAGTGGTGCAGTCAGCAGGCTTTGAGGAATGCATTGACATTTAAGGAAATATATTGATTACCTTTCTGATCAGCCTAGTTTGTTATTGATCCTTGCCTTGTACACGTCTGCGTGTTTGCAGATGCAGCGCCCAGATGAGATAACAGTTTAACTCTGTTAATGCCTCTTATTACTTGATAAATGTTGATATCTATCATAACATAGTTTTATATTTCAGCGTCTATAATTACTCCATCTTTAAGGTGATCACGAGTTAAATATACTTGCCGTACTAATTAACATCAGACCTTTGCAAGTTGGCTGATATCCACACCAAGGCTGCCTCAAAGTCAGTCCACAAGAAGAAGAATCAATGCATCATATTTTGTTTACTTCAAACTCCCGTGTATGAATAAACAATACCTGCTTGTGTGTGTGTGGATAGAGAGCGAGATCCTCCTTTTACATTCTTGTTTTTCATTATTTATAGTATATGTAAAGATAAAATGAGCTTAAACGATCAATGGAATAAAGATGCTAAATGGGCTCTAAATGTGTGGTTTTTAACCGTATACAAAAACTAGGCCACACCGCTTTCATTTGCACATTTAACAAATGTCATATTACATTACAGCAAATTCACATGTTTTTCTTGTAAAAGGAAAAAAAATCACTCATAATATTGAAGCATATGGCATCTTTCACCACTTCTCCAGATGGAAAGACGACAAGTGGGTGGATTTGTTTGAAATGTACAAGCAAAGCATTGCTTTCCCCAAAAGACAAAAAACATGTTTACTACCACTTAGCTGTCCAAGGCCAGAGGAGCCACTTTTAAAATTGCGTGGTATTCCCCATTCAGCTTTTTAGAGATTGAATCATTGAGCCTAAGTTGAAAGCAACAATTAATCAGGAGGGAAGTGTAGTAAAAGCCTCAGGAGAAACTCTTGAGTACACTCTAAGCACGTCTCCTGACTGCTTTTGTGCTCACATGAATGTTTTACTGTCCCAGACGGTGTTAAAGTGCCAAAGAGAGAAGGGGTTTCGGCAGCCTTGCTACATTTGTCACAGGTATTCAACAGGCTCGTCTTCTCACCATTTGGGGAGGTTCCCATCTTCTGAATCTGTGAGAACAAAGCAGAAATTGAGCCAAGAGTGCCTATCTGAATCCTATCTGTTCCATCATTTGACTCCCTTTTTTTATATCACCGCAGCACAGGCGTCGGTGCAATGTTTTTCCGAGTCCGAAGTGCTCACACTCAAGTACCGACTTATGTCTAGACAGAAAAATTAGGGCATACATACAGACAAAAAAAACTTTGACATTTAGACAAGGTGTTCACGCTGTGCAATCAGACCTCATTTTCCACACAGAGCTCAGTCAATGGTAGCCATGTCTCGATTTGGCAAGGAACAATCAGATTTAATGTGAAGCCTTTTTTTGTGTTTCTTGTTTCTGCAGGCTCTGTCCTCAAAAGAATGCAGCCCGAAGATCACAGCTAACGGCATATCTTTGAAAGCCCAACCGCTCTGTTACTAGGCTGGAATAAAATGGGGTCTCTGGGAATGTATTGTAATTCTGTGGAGGTTTTACATCAAAGAGAATGCTGTATTTCAGGGCAGGTGACATGCAGTGGTGTAATAGTGGAATGCTGCATCAGAAAAGTAGCCTAATAACTTCATTGCTCTTTCCTTTTATTGAGAAACGATCATAAATAATCACACATCGCATGAATTTTAGACGCGTTTAAGCTTCACCGGTTTGTGCTTATGAAATTCTGACTGAAAAAACACACACAAACCTCCTTGACAAGATACACACACTGAAATGATGATGTGAAAGACTAGTGAGAGTGTTCAAGAGTCAATTTCTGTCTTCTGTGAAGTCATCTGAAGAGTGATATTGAGTCTTTGGGGATAAGAGATGAGACTGTGATGTTGCGCTAGCAGGAGGAGGGAACGCAGCTCAGAAAGGCTGGCCTTGTTGATGTAATTTATTGCAACATTATTCAGGAAAAACTGCTAAAAAGCTCTCACTTGAAGCTGACTTTTTAAACTTTGTGTGACACGTTTCTTATCACGTACAGCTGGGAAGTTGAGTTTGATTTTTGTTCTGAATATGTAAAAGTTTGGTGGAGGATTACCGTCACAGCCTCGCAGTCTGCTAACATTTTAAAACCTTTCTTTAGGACACATTTAATGTTTCTTCTCTTCCGTTTAGGTCTGTTAAGCCTCACTTATGCTTTGTTCTGGCACTGCTAAATGGAACAAAAATGAGACTTATGCGGTGAGCTCAGGGGAGCCGAGCCCAAGAAATGTTATCTTTGCTATATACTTTCCAGAGGCTTACAGCGTCATCTGCACAGGAAGCATTCATCTGAATGTCATGAATTACTGGATACACCAATTCCTCCACTGATTTGCAAAAAATGTAATCTAACCTGAATTGCTTTGAAATATAGCTAAAATAAGTGATGTTGTGTGTTAGCTAATGAGCTAAGCTAGTGCTACCATTATCCATGCAAGCTATCTGATGGTTAAAACAAAATTCCAACCCGAATGAACATTTTTTTAAACACTGGCTATCTAACTGAGAAAGATTCTTCAGCTCTGACATGTTTGTGCATTTAGCTATTTGTGTTCCAGTAGTAAAATTAGAAAAGTGAGGATTTGTTATGCTTCCTAGCAAGGTGGAGTCATTCATCTACCACTAGCAATACAGCGCAGTACCAGTTTTCAGAATCAGAATCAGAATACTATTGATCCCTAGGGGAAATTATTTAAAAACAAATGCTTTATGCTTTTAAAAACACTTCTGCAACCCGTCGTGGGTAGAGACTGGTCAGGGCTCTTTATATGGCTTATTTAGCAGGTCACAGATCATAGCAGATTACAGGTTTCGCAGTTTTGCTAACATTTGCATGCACTGCTGCCATCGTGGATTGTAAAGTCAGGACTCTCAAAAGTCAGGATTACCAACATGGACCTTGAAATGCACCCCCAAGCAGGACATTTTTTAAGAAACGCAAACATCTTCATCATAAGTTATTAAACACAATTGGTCACCAATTTAAAAACTATTTTAAGGGTGTACGATGTGATTAATAATCGTTGATGATCTATAATCGAACAGATATTTTTTTTTATCACGGTTAATTTTGGTTTTTGTTTCTTTAAAGAATAATATTACATGATGCTGGTTGCATGTGATCTGTCGCTACCCAACCCTGATTGTGAGTAAATACTGACCTCATGTTGGCATCAATAAGTTGGCTGCTACACTTCACAAAATCATCACCTGTCTTGGTTTAAAGCCAAATTACTGTAAAACACAGCTGCAATGTCCTGATAACAATATTGAACTGAAGCACAAGCGTGCATTTGCCTCAATCCTCCAAATCGTTTGATTTTATTCAGAGCAATATCTGACAAACATATTAAGAGGTTGTTTTATTGTACTGCAGGACTTTGCATGTGGGTGGAGTAGATTTCTTTTTGTAATTTTATCAAACTACTCTAAGGAAACAAAAAAGCGTTTTTCAAATACTCCATAGATTAAAAAAAAAAAAAAGAATTGCCGCTCAGTTTGGTTTATTCATCCTGCTTTATCAGTTTCTAAAACGTTGGTACTTTGGTTCAATGATTTCAGCTAGACTCATTATCATGCATGCCCTGCAACGGTTTGTGAGCTCACACTTTCCAATGTTGTAGATGTGAGCGTGCTAAAATGACAAACTAAACAACTGTATAGTAATTAAAATGCTAGCATGGTGATGTTAGCATATAGCTTAGTGCGGGTTCAGATAGACAAATAGATACTGGAGCACTTCCCAGTTTAAAACATTAATGGCACAGCTGCCATAACAGTGTTGGTACCTGTAGTTAAAAAATATTTTTTATGTTGCTTTAATGCTTAATTCACCAGTGCAAAGTGCAAAAGTCACACATAACCAGATGTTATATGGAGAATATCTGGAGAACTTCCTGTTGGTGACTTCAAAGAGGAAAAAGCAGCAAAGCATTCAGAGATGCTGAAATAATTTATACGTGGGGACAGCAGTTTGTTGTCTTTGCAGGAAGTTCCTCAGTACATAGATAAACCTTGTTGTGTTTTCCTCTGTAATGATTTTGATTTTGTAATCATATATTAAAAAATAATTTCCCCCTTCCTCTATTCTGCTCTCTCCTCAGATCCAGACTTTGGAGACATGGGAATACCCCCACCTCTGCCCTGTAGGTACACTCCCTCTCTCTCCCGCTTTCTGCTTTCTTTCTTGCTCTACAGCCATTCTTTTTCTCTTGTCTCTCTAAAGTGTATTTATGCTGTTTTACTATCACTTATATACATACTGTGTGTTGGTGCATGTGTTATACCTCTTAATCGGTGTTTGTCTGCATGAACCACACATGTGTGCATGCATTTGTTTTGGGTGTGTTTATACATATGTGTGTGTTTCAGCCTGTCAGTATGACATGGTTGGCCCAGAAGGTATCGTCGAGTCTCATCAGATCACCAGAGACGGAAAGGCCGGTGCCACCGAGGCCGTCGACTGTAAATGGTACATCCGTGCCCCGCCGCGCTCCAAGGTCAGTGACGTAAACTACGCTCCCATCAAACTGTGAATTTGATTTGAAGCCAAATTTTGAAATGTCACATGAAATAAAATGGAAATGAAATTGTGTCCCCATTAGCTGGGCTGATGACAGCACAACATAGTTACATCAGAAAGACTAATGTTCAGCTGACAAATCCTGGATGTATTCCTTGTGAAATTTCCGGCTTCTGTTGAGATATTGAGGATATTTTTTCTTAATAATTATCTGTTTCCTTTCTATATTTCACCACACAGGCAGTAAGATCAGGGGTTGCATCAGGAAGCGTTGATATTACATGTCAGTTTGTCTGCAGCTGTCAGCAGTATCCCGACGAGAGTGTTTGTGGCTGGGGGGAGGACTTGTTTCCCCGCTAGGGTCAGACAGATAGGCAGAAGGGTTTATTTGGGGTCAGGCCCATTTTTTTAATCAGTGAGCTGTTGCCAAGAGGAATAGAGGGAGGGAAGAAAAAAAAGAGAGCGCTGCAGAAGGAGAGAGGACTGAACAAACAAAGAGAGGCAGGAAGCGTTACCATTGATAAAATAGTGTTGCGTTGCAGTTTGACCCTGAGGCCTGCAACAGCCTGCATTTGTTTTCCTCGCCTGTGTTTTGCATATACAAATACAGGACATGCATATACATGCACACCTTTGCTCCAACCCCTAATACACACTAGACATGCTTCCTTATCTACTAGAGGTACCTGTGCTGCATTAATGCATGGGATTAAGTGTTTCCTAAGGGCAGAGCAGCAGTGCAGGAAAAGGCTATATTTTACAAATGCTACCACCTCTCATATGAGTCTATATGGTTTGATCCTGTACATCCATGACTGCAGTAAATCTGCTGCTCAAATAGTGTTGGCCCTCTTCTGAGTGCATTTGAGGGGTTTGATTTGATAGCATAAGGCCACAATTTTACTTTGACTTTCATGGTTAGAACAATTCTTTGAAGGGCAGGAAGGAATTATGGTGTCTGCATAGTTAAAAAGTTAAAATATTTGATCTCCCTCGTAATACTAAAACTATAAATCGTGACCTTAAATAAACCCATGTTTTATATTACAGTGTCTTTTGGATCTGCGCGTGTCTGGTTTGTACGTATGTGAGAATGTATTTATAACTTTGGTCATGACGGGCTTCTTTAACTATGACTCACTTATGGCACAGATATGTGGTTCATTTATATTTATCTTCATTATGCCACTGTAGAAAGTCAGATGACCAAAAGGACTGGTTGTATGTAAACACTTAAAAACAAAATGTATATACATTTAATAAATATATATACATTTATTTGTCTTCTTTGCGAGCTACATAGACATCTGTTCAGTTTTAAAGACAAACAAAACCTAATCTGTAAACTTTGGGTTTGATGTTTACCTGGAATACAGTAATGTTAGGTGTGGCTGGTGATGATCACCAAAAACCATACGCATTTAAATTGTTATTTAAAAAGAGACATTTAAGGCATTTAAGGGACATAGTACATGTTTGATTTCTTTGGTCAATAATTTAAGATCCCGGTTGTAATGCACATTTGTAACCTACTGGATTCACATCTTGGCTTTCGATCTAAATTTACCCGGAGGCTCATTAGTTAGATGGAGCCACTCTCCTAGCTTGGGAGTCACGGCACCAAGTGCTCTGATTACCACTGCACCGCTGTTACCTTCACCCTCCACATCTTCTCGAGCTCTTCTCTGAGCCCTTGGTACTTCTCCAGCCTCTCGTGTTCCTTCTTCCTGATGTTGCTGTCATTCGGTATCGCTAGATCGATCACTGCAGCCGTCTTCTTTTGCTTGTCTACCACCGCTATATCCGGTTGGTTAGCCAGCACCATTTTGTTCATCTGTGTCTCGAAGTCCCACAGGATCTTAGCTCGGTCATTCTCCACCACACTAGGGGGGGTCTCCCATTTTGCCTTCGGGACTTCCAGGCCATACTCAGCACAGATGTTTCTGTATACTATGCTGGCCACTTGGTTATGGCGTTCCACGTATGCCCTGCCTGCTACCATCAGGGCCATCTTTAAACAGCTTGCACCTGGGGTCTTGCCTGGTGTGGTAGACCCCAGCCTCTATGGATCTTGTGCCTAGAGCTTACTCCTGTGCTGCCATGATTAGTGCCTCTGTTCTGCCTTTCAGTCCAGCTTTGTCCAGCCACTGGTAGGATTTCTTGATGTTAGCCACTTCCTCTATCTGGCGGTCGTACATACCGTGCAGGGGCCTGTCCTTCCATGACGCTTCCTCCTCTTCCTCCTCTTTCTTAGGTTTCTGCTGCCATCGTCTCTCAGTTGGCAAGAGATGATATGCTATGATCATTATAATAAGATACGACAGCAGGATATGAAATAGTGACTTGCTCTGACTTAATGTTAATAGGAATCAATTACGTACGTGCATTGTTCAGTTATTCCAGGGGGTGAGGTAAGGTAGCTGTATTGTCAGCTTTACTGTGTCACTATTAGTTTCACTAATTCAGTGCTTATTAGTGATGCCATGCTATTATGGTTACTGTAGAGATCTTTTAAGATTTATAGAGTACACATTAGAGAAGCTATTAAGGCATAGTTTATATCAGATGGAAGCTGTGATTAGGTTCACAGTATTTTTTTCTACACAGGCTTTTCATACTGAACTGCAGGCTCTCTGTACTGTACACACACACACACACACACTGGCTTATGATATGACTGGCCGATAATGGTTCGACTGTTATTCATGGGCACAGTATTTGTTCTTATCTGGCATATTCCTCTGGTCGCATATTTCCTGCTAATGCTCTGGTTTCCCTTCAGAAATGACCTTCGGATTCAGCTGTTTTGAAAACTCAAGGCCACGGGAGTTATACAACTGCATCAATCAGGAGACTTACTCTTAGTCGTCACATGGAAGCTTACAATAAGTGTTAAATTGAAACAGCTATTAGCAGGGAGTCTTGCCAGGGTTAAAGGTTATGCTTGATTTTTTTTTTCTTTTTTTAAAAAAATCAATTGATGCATTGCCAGTGAGCCATCAAAACAGACAAGTCAAGTTTGTGCGCATCACATGCATCCTCCGTTTGTGTGTGAATACGTTAGTTATGTGCATGAAAGAGTAACAAAGCAAGCAAGCCTGGCAGTATGATGTATTAGTTTGAATAAGTGTCACATTTCGTACTGCAGAAATGCCTCCGAGGCCAAGTCATGGGCCAGAGGCTGACAGTCATTGGCACTGATGGACAAGGCAGCAAATCACATTTTTAGTACAACTCTATCTTCTGTAAATCACAGTCCTGAAGCTCCCACCTGCACTGCAACTATTCGCACTCAGTTACACATAAAATATAAAAAACCTGCAGTTTCTCTCTTTGGTTCCTCACTACCTCTGTCAAGTAGACGCATGCATGCTCACATGCTGCTGCAGAGAGGGGGACTACATTACTGTGTGTACGCATGCATGGAGGTCGCACAGTGTGTAAGGCAAGGTGTTCATCTCCCTATGCTTATACACTACTGCACTACACCCAGTGTGCCAGAAACAGCAGAGATAATGACATCCTATACCGGAGGCTCTAATTAGACTGCACCGGAGCACTCCAGAGAGAAGCCGGGAGAAGGAGGTAGGAGAGGAGGTGGAAGCATGAGAAAGGAGGGAATAAGGGAAAGCAATGCTTAATAATGCGTTTTACTGAAGATCTTAAATATATAGGGATGGAGTTTTGGGGGTGAGATGGCGCATGGCAGATGGCAGAGAGAGGGATGGAGTAAAAAGGAAAGAAAGGTGGAGACTGACTGAAAAACATACCTGCAAGTAAGCAGTAATGACCATGTGTTGTTGCCAGAAGTCACAGCAATGCACCAAATTTAATACCATCACGTTACTTTACACCACCATTCATCCTCCACTTCAGAATAGATTACCCTTCACTAAGATTCACAGTGATATACATGCCTAATAAGAGTGATTTACAAAAACTTTGAACTGAAACTGCATTATATTTAAATTTATAAACTCTTCCTATCACCACTGCTCTGTTTTTTTAGGTTCTTTGGGCTATTTTGGACAGCTGTCCAAATTCAGCGCAAACTTATTAGCTGTACTGAGGGATACATTCAGTTACCTCATCAGTTTCTCTGTTTTCCACAGAGCATCTCTGTCCCGTCTGTTTTACACAGTCTGGATTTTTCTTGCCCGCGCTGTCTGACACCTTCTACATCCTTTCATGATAATGGTCAAAATATGGACATTCATTCTGACTGTAATGAACAGCACGCGCTGTTACAGACATCCTTTAGCAACAGAGAGAGCATATTCTTCCCCGGTCAATGATGGATTCGGCGTCATTATTGGGCGCTGCAATCAATGAAGAAGCAGCCTATTTCCCTGCTGGAGCCAATCTCTCACCGTACAAATTGGTGATTGTATCTATCTTATCTGTTGCTGTCATTCTGTGTTGTGATGCCATCTGCACTCAGAATTTTTCTTCATCATCGGCCTGTTAGGGCTTAGGAGCCGCAGAAAAACAACATCAGAAGCTTTTATTTGTGAATTTGTTAGTAAATGTTATATATTTGTCACATAATGAGGCCTTCCTGTTCACCTTCCAGTCAGTGCTCACAGTAACTACATCGGTCAGATAATGAGTTTGTGTATGCAACGCCTGATCAAAGACAATACTGAAAGGATTTTTTTTTCACAGACATGCACATCCTTATGGCCTGCCATACAAAAGTACTCGAGTTAAGCATGTTAGAATGCTACAATATTAGAAACTCTCACCCTAGAAAGCCATCGGCCAGTCTGAGGGCCAATTTTTCAGCTTAACTGGTTAGTGTGCAGGTCACTGGTTAGTCTTTCATAAGGGTTATATATTTAAATTAAAAGCTACATTTTCACACGATAACTGACAATTTTGAGATATCAGCAAAGGAACTGATTGATTAAAAGAAATTGAACCAAAAACAGGTGAAACGGAAAACCAGAATGCCTCCAGTATCAAAGGTTTTGAACCTTGCCACAGCTCCAAGACTCTGTACACAATTTTGTGACAGTGCATCCGTTCAGATATTCTAACGTGATCAATGTGGAGAAGCCCCCTTCTTCAACACCATCACTGTCATGCTTCCATCCAGAAACAGTCATGATGGTCAAGACTGGGAATTATGCTATTTAATGGCTGTAGTTTTATTGCTTTAATTAGCCATTAGCACCAATTGAAGTCTATGCCAAAATCCTAATTTGTCCATTATATCAACATTGTTTTGCATTAGCAATTAGTCTCCGCTTGCTGAAAAAGTACTTTTATCGGTTACAGATGGCTGAATTTAGTGTATTCTTTGTGCTGTAGGTGGAAAACTTCATGTCTAATTCTCCCACCATTCGCTGACGATGAAACGACGGGGCCAAGTGTCCTAATTAACATGCTCATTGGTGCTTTTACCAATTATTTGCCTCTTCAACTCTAGAACAGACAAAGAAAAAATTGGCAGAGAGTCCCTAACTGTAACCTTAACCTTCACTATAACCTTAAAATTTTTGCATTAAATCTGTCGTCTTTGGTAATCTGCCATATGGAAAGGAGCCATCATCCACGTATTATAAATTCTTTGTTCTTAGTCAAAGTCATTTCTGGCAGTTTTCCCTTAATCCAAAGTTTTCCTTGTTCTTAAAAACTTAGAACTTCTAAACTTAGAAACCTTTTTATATTGTACTACAATGTCAAGTGACATTCGTCTCAGATCACTAACTTAATCACAGCATTATCCCAACTGCTGAGAAACCACATTTTAGGCACTTACTGCATGTATCTCCAGTCTAAAGCTTTCAGTCATATTTTATGCTCTGTACTGGAAATCATTGTAATATTGACAAGAACACAACAGCACTCAGTGGCGTCAGCTTAAGTGTATTTTCAGAGTATCCCCCCCTTCTCCCAGTGTAGAGCCATTAATATGAATGTAATCTATACACTCCCTGGGACAAATCACTTTTAGTCACATGCTTCCTATGTGATTGAGTTTATAACTGGATACATCTTTGCATCAGAAAGCCTGCAATGAATTTGACAGTATTTAATTCCACAATCGCAGTATAGGAGAGAAAACGCTTCCCCCATCCCTGTGACAGTATAGCTGAATATGATTGTTTTTTATTAGACTGATTATTGACATCAGTGTGATACCTCGAGAGAGCTAGCTTGTTTTCTCCCCTCTAGTCCATTTCGCTTGTCATGTTGTTGAAGCCAAGTTGACATTGCAGGGTCCATTATCCTGCTCCATCTGCAGCTTTTGTCTTTGGGTATTTAAAGCGTCAAATTTTCCTGTCACAGTCCAGGAGCCGTCCGCTCATTAACCGTAATGATGGCAAGTGCTGTGAGCGGCCGACCAGAACCATAGCTGTGATTGGGGGATCTCAGCCTGATGAATGAGTGACAGAAAATGGTGCGGAGACAGTTAGGAAGTGCAGAATAGCTACTATGAAGAGTCAAGGTGGATAGCAAGGTGGATATTTTACTCAACGAGCGATTGTTAGGATATTAAAACAGAGCATGTGTTGTATCTGTCTTAGTTGCTTCATGAATAGTTAGACATAAGGTAAGTCTGTTTATATACCAAATATGTCCTTTGGTGTATAAGTTCTTTGCATTTTAATTTTAAATGATGACATCTTTTTTTCGCTTAAATATCCAAAACTGGTGGCAAAACGTCCAACATGTCCTTAAAGTTTAACAAGGTTGTAGGTTTTATGTAATTCTTTATCTCAACAGATATGGATAATGAGTGCAAAGCTAATAGACTCCGTCTGTCTTTGAGTCTTCATTTGAAATGCGTATGTAATGACTTTGTGCTAGCTGCTGTCTGTCAGTCTTATTTCATTACAGGGCTGCTATATCAGGCACTTGGATAATGACTGAGATGCCCGGGCAGTAATAGGAAAGAGCTGAAATCTTTTCTCTCACTTGTCTCTCTTCTCTGCTGTTTGCTTCACATCTTTCTTCTGTCACCTCCAAATCTTACTGTGTCCTTTGATTTTCCTCCCCTGATCGCTTCTTTTTCTTTCTCTTCTCTTTGTTGTTTTTCCCTCCTCTCTGCCTCCTCGGACAGATCTACCTGCGTTTTCTCGACTATGAGATGGCAAATTCCAATGAATGCAAGCGCAACTTTGTGGCAGTGTATGATGGCGGCAGGTGTGATTTTTTTTTTGTACATCTTTAATGTGACATGCTCTTGTTGCACAAGAGGGCTTTGTTTTAAATCTTCAATTGTATAAATCACTTCTCTCACTTTACTTTATCCTCATATAACAACTTTGTGCTGTTCATGAGCTTCTGATCTGAAAACATGAAATTGAAGTCGCCTAAAAAAAATCCAATTTTAATTCAAGGAAACTGTTTAAGTATTTTAGCTGAGTTAAAGGGTAATCACATATTGGCTTTGTTGATGAAAGCTAGATAAAAAGAATGATGCTACTCATGTCTATATGGGAAATACAGATGAACTGAGCTGAATGACTGGAAAGGGTCAAGTTACAGCATATGTAACATCACAACTTCATAATTTCCATTTATGCAGTCAAAAGTGGGAGTCTTCTCCCTCAATAAACATGAAGCAATAATTTTGAGTAATATGCAATGGAAATATATCAAAAGGTTAATTTATTCAAATAATTCTTTACTAAGGGAATTGTGCTTGCTCTAAACTGAATGTATACCAATCGAGTTAATCAAATTTGATTAAATGTAAAAATTTTAAATTGTAAAAAAAAATTACATGGAAAATTTACATGCAATTAAATTATTTAAATTCAGGAATTTGGGCAGGATTTCTTTTCAAGTTTAGGCAGCAAGCTTTAAAGCAGGGGTGTCAAACTCGTTTTATGTCGAGGGCCACATACAGCCCACTGTGATCACGAGTGGGCCGGACTTTAACTACAGGTTTAATAGAGATATTTCATTATAAGAGAAAGAAGGTCAGTTCCAACAGTACGTCTCAGTCTTTCTACATGATATATAAATGCTGCTGTAGCAAATGAAAGAAATGTGTCAGCATGACTGTTTGGGCTTTAGCTGTAAGAAATAAATGTGTACAGTTCAAAAACTGTCCTGTAATTATAACACTGAGCTTACAGACAATGTCAAAATGTCTAAAACTTATTAAAATACACTTAATTGTCCAAAAATGTAAGACCTCTTTCACATTTTCTAAAGCTGTCCATGAGGCCCGACTGGGCGATTCTGGCCCCTTGGCTTTATGTTCGACACCCCTGCTTTAGAGGATCTGGATGCTGGATTTTATTAGCTGTGGGTAGAACCAGTTCAGGCTATCCATTCCAGTCCTCATGATAAGCTACACTAACCAGCTGCTGACTGTAGATTTGCAGTTTAAGGACAGATATGAGAGCGGTATTGATCTTCTTATCTAACTCACAGCATGCAAGCTGCACACTTGCTTCTCGCGCACTTCTCACAAACAAGTCTATTAATATAAAGTAACCTGTTTTTAATCTCCAAATAATGAGATTTTGAAATCCAGATTAAAGAAAACAATATTTGATACACTGAGATAAGGATATAATTGAATCACTATCTACTACACACTTGAGCTCAGCGGCAGTTTATTATCTTGAGAGATTCAGAATATTTAGCAGTGATCAGACGGTAACAGCCCAGAAAAAACAAAACAAAACATTAAAGTACCACGACTGCTCTTTCCAACTCTGTGGATTATTAAGATGCACAGTGACTGCCTATGTTACTGGATAATAAAGTATGCATGCTTATCTCATCCCGTCATGTCTCAGTTCAGTGGAAGACCTGAAGAGCAAGTTCTGCTCCACGGTGGCCAACGACATCATGCTGGTTTCCACGCTGGGAGTCATCAGGATGTGGGCAGACGAGGCCAGCCGCAAAAGTCGCTTCCGCATCCTTTTCACAACCTACCAAGAACGTAAGCTGATCTTTACTGCAGTGTGATCTTCCTGCTTAGGCAGCTTTCTTCGTCTGGTCTTTGCTTAATTTCAGTCGCCAAAATAAAAGCACGTCCAAACTGTGAGATTTCTGCACTCTTATAAGTTTATGTAAACCTAAGAAACTTGAGTACAAGATCACGTTTGGTCTGTGCAGACAGTGCAATGCAAATACCTGCTGAAACACACACACACATGATACATTATTACGTTCTCTGATATTTGTTTTTCATGCTAAACCCCCCGCGGTGCAGTCATAATAACAGCTGGTCGACACATCGTGCAAACAAGGCTTTTGCCTCAACTAGATTTTCTTCTTAATTGAGTGTCGATCAGTGTGTAATTTCATGCTGCATTCCCGTTGGTTGCCTAGTAATCGTAGGTTATAGAGGCATTTACATTTTCCCACATTTACATTTTCCCACACTGTTCAGTTGCAGAATTATTCCTATAACGAGTTTTAAAACACAATCAGAGATATCACTGTGATTCTTGCACATTGGTCATATTTCATCTGGAATCTTTCGTCATAGGAAATGGTCTATAATGAGTTTCCATTAAGATTCATAACAATGTAAACAGCAGCAAGCAGGAAACCACCGAACACCATTTCCATCACAGGGAATCTTGCCTGTGGGTAAATGTGAAGATGACAGCACAGGTGGATTTGAGTTCAGCTCTGCTGCATTAACACAGGTGGAGCATCTGCACCAGCTAATTCCTTTGTTTAAAATAGGTAGAGACTGTGACTGCACCAAACCTACAATATGTTCACGTCTACCTGTTTTGTTTCAGAAAAAAATCAGTTTGAAATTCACACAAGCACACTCAAAGTCTGTCTATTTCTCATTCAGCGGATTTTCATTGATAGAGATAGTCGTGTGGAGAGGCCATTCTTTGTACTAGCGACATGAAGGAAGAGGGTCTGGGGCCCATTAGTCTACACCGTGTCAGCATCAGTCGGTGCCTTTTAATGACAAGGACACGAGGAAATAGGTGCACGCAGCTGCACACTATTGAGCGTTTTCAGAAACTGAATGGGGCTTCTTTCTGAATGTAGATAGGATAAGAAAAAAATCTTAGAATATTATTTTCAAACTGTTTAAATGAAAGACTTACTGCATTTTAAAGTTATTTTAATGCTTTTTGCTGCCATTTCAAAAGGACTGGAAACACTGACATTATCATTTGTGAGAAGAACCATTAACTCATAAGAAGAGAGGTTTAATAAAAGACTGAACTGCAATCTGTTTATCACTTTACACACCTGCACCTTGTCTTCATTGGCTGTTTATTGTGTGCTTGTGCTTAGCTTAATCAGTAAGCAACTGCAATAGCGACAGAGTTGTTTACGTTGTGAAGTCAGTGTCCCCTTTGTGAGGCCCTTTCACCAAGCAGAGCCAGGATGTGCTGTTGCCGGGGCAACGCCTCTGCCTAAGTCACTCAGGCGATCCCCGGCCAGACCTCAGCCTTTAGAGCAGCATCCACCACAGCTCAGCAGCACTGCAGCAACCCTGTCAACAGTGAATGCACTAATGTACCAGAGCTGCGAAAAACGCAAACAATTCAGACTTTGCTTGTTTTACACTCTCAGGACAGATGTATTTGCTTCTATTTGATGTGTATAAAGTGGTGTTCTGTGTTGGGAAACGTACTATATTGTTTTTTTATTAAGATGCCAAAGCACAGTTAATAACATGTATTCCTGAAGAGAAGAGTTTGTTTTAGCAGTTAATTGTTCCCCTTGACAATAACATTTTTGGTTTTAGCAGATTTCTAAAAAGTTTGTGTTTTTTTTTATGACAGGTGGTCTGATAAATTTGAAAAGCACTGTATTTGATATTGTTAGACACATTTACTGAACAGGTGCCCTCGGGTCTATTGTTTCAGTTACATGAACAAAACATTGATTTTTCTGCTGTTTGTTTTTAATGAACTCATCATATATTCCGACTATTTAAATGAGTCATTGAACATTTATGTGAGATAAAAGATCCCCCGTTAAACAGCCAAATGTAAGCTTAGAAAAAGCAATGTCAAAATATAGTTTAGATTTAGTTTTAACGAATAAAATTACTTTTTATTGCACAGAAATGTAACAAAAAGAAAAATGAAAGCTCAGAACGGCAAAAACCAGCTGATATGAAAACAAAAATAATGGCTTTCATGCTCTATGTGATCACTGCAGATGAGTGACTCTGCTGTGCGCGCATGCAGCTGCTTATAGCCCAATTGTTACCATAAGTGCTCCCCAGCCATGGAGATCCTAAACCATTGGATGTTTGTTCCCAGCCGTTGGTTCCCAGTGGAACCAGCGGCTCTTAGAGTACCGTTCAGACCTGCTGACACCCGGCAAACTGCTCATGTGGGAAACGCAATGTTCTCAAACACAAACATGCAGCTTTACCATCTGTGAAGAGTTTACACCTGCTGACACTAGCACTGAACTTTACTGCTTCCATCCTCTCTCTCACATACACACACATGCACGCACACACACAAACGCATAAACAGCCCTGCTATGAAGGTAGTATATAGTTACAAATGTGAAGCATAAGTGATACCTACCTCTACCCAAGAACCAATTATGTCTTAGGTGATAAATGTACGCTTGCGACATCTCAGCTGTCAGCATTGTTACGGCTCATCTGCAACACGTCTCCGGGGTTGCAGATGGAAATTTGCTCTGGCTTCACTACACATGTCACTTTTTACCTATAGGAAAGCTTCTTTACTGTGTGCATGAAAGAGTTTGAGACCAACACAATATGCTAATGCCTGTCAGCGTGCTTGGTCTTAGATTAGATTATATCAACTGTAGGCACTCTGTTGCTTTGCAGTTAGAATCCTTTGGGAGGATTGTGGAGAGACTGTTGTGCTGGACATTGTAAAAAATCAGTACCAGATGCACTCTGCTGGGTAGTGTTACTGTATTTATTATCAGCAGTATTGAAATCTAGATAATCATAGCAGAAAATAAAAAAGAAGCATCAAAAAGGCCGTAGAGTAACAGAAAATAACTCTATGGGTAAAAAAAAAAACAAGACTCAGGTAGGAGCTGACTATCCCAAATCATAACACGTGAGAGCTTGCATTATTGCAGGTGTTACCATGTACCAAACAAAAAAGATCTTTATTAAAAAATCCCTTATGACAAAAAACAGAGACTCATCAAACTCATCTCATAGAAATATTATAACTGCACCTTAAATCAAAACCCCACGAAGCAGACATCTACAGTAGATTGAATTTAAAGATTCATGATAACCAGGTGTTGCTTATAGCACTTCACTGCAGACACCTCTTTGCTCTTAGACCCTGCTCTGCAGAGACACCCGGACTATTTTCATCAGCCGCTCATTTACGACTTAATTTATGCTTCCAGCAGCGACTGTGGACATTTCTGTGTGGGCAAAAGAGCACTTTTATTACAGAATGTCTTGAAATTAATTTTGCAGGAGATTAGTGTGGATCACGCTCTTTATAACATCTGGTCTCACCCTGCCTTGAGTGGAAAACGAGAAGGCGTGGGCTCCCTCTGGTGGCTGTTAGCAAAAACAAACTGTCACAGCTTTGGTGTGGAGTGTACTACATGACATAAAGGATTAGAAAAACAGACTGAGGCTGGGGGGAGAAAATGAGAAGAGGAGTATTAGAACACACACAGAGAGCCAATATGACTCAGGAAATGCTGGCAAAGGCCCAGACAGGATGGGTTACAGAGAGAGATACAGATAAGTCACTCTAATTTGGTGTGTTATTATTCACTTGGGATGAGAGCTGGGATGAAAACAGCCATACATCACAGCGGTAACGCTGTCAAATAGTCCCCAGTTCTGCCATACCACTGGCAAGCTGCTTTAGCACCAGTGCCAGTGTTGTGTGTGAGTGGGGAGAAGGTGAGAGATAAAGACAGAAAGTAAGAGACATGCAAGAGACCAGGGAAGGACAGCTCCTCTGCAACAAAACAGCCAGCAGCTAAACAGAGCCATTCTGTTCACATGTCACTCACTTTTAAAACACAGAGAAACTGAAAGCGATCCTGCATTACTTCTGCTTTCTGCATCCTTTTCACATAAAGCTGCATGGAGCAGACATATTCAGCTTCGTATGCTTTAGGGATACTTTTGCAAAATAACAGGAGGGTCAGGTGATATATATATAGGTGATCTATCAGAAGACATCTATCAGTTACAATGAATAAATAGTAAAAAGGTCAATATCTTATCTTTTAATTAACTTGTTTATTTTTTAATTTCTAAGTAACACAGTTACAAAATTACAACCATGTGTGTAAATGCTTTAGACTGGTAGAATGGCATCAAATAGTTTATACAGTGTTAAACAGAAACCTCTTACTTAACACCCAGAAAATGGTCCGTTTAGATTTCCAGGTTCTTTTTAGAGAAAAGAGACTTTCTCCTAGCAACCCAAACTTGCCATACTTTGCCCTGGCAAGCCTGAGATGTAGATGTTGTTTTTCTGAACATCCCAAGGTCTCATCTTGGGATGATTTTGCCAAGACATCAATTGGGAAGACTGCAGCATTGTCCTAACACTCAACTGAATGTTGCACATCTGCTTTTATAGAGGTGCTCAAATTTGCTCGTGATCATTTAATCAAACGTGTCTGATTAGCAGCACCTGGCTGCTACTTACCCTCTTAAATCATAGGGAAGCAAGAAGGGTGTACTCAGCTTTTCACCTAACTACATACAGTAATCTTTTTCACGTGAACGTGAAAATACAGTGTATTTTCTTGCGACATCAGCACATTGATTTGATGAATTTCTGAAGAATGACTCTTCTTCCTCACACTGAGACAAAACACGTGAATGTTGTGTCTCCGACAGGTCACACCATGGGGGCGGGTGTCACGGTGAACAAATAAACAACATGCAGTATAAATAGGAAGGATTTGTTTTGGGTGTGTGTGTGCAAATGATTGTAAAATGTCATGACTTTTTCTCCAGACACCCCGCACACTCACCCGCATACAGCTCGCACACATACGCACACATAACAAGAAATTCATTCATATCCACAAGTTGTTTGAAGAGGAGGGTGAGAATGAAAATTCATGAAGAACAGATGGGTTCAGGGGAAGCAGGTTTGAACTGAGTCTGAAAATCTGCCACGCTGGACTTCTGCTCTACTTCTTATAATGATCAGTACAGTAGCGCATGTAATTGTCCTTTGTGTTTGCTGTTTTTAGAGATGGTAAATATACTAAAAATTGCATTGAACTTGTCCTGTGAACTGAATGTGCAAATATAAATAAACTTCTTTAATGTCTTAATTGCTCATTGTGCTCTCTCCCCTTCCAGCTCCATGCGATGCAGATGCCTTCTTCTGTCACAGTAACATGTGCATAAATAACACACTCGTGTGTAATGGCATGCAGAACTGTGTCTACCCCTGGGATGAGAACCAGTGTAAAGGTGAGATGTTACGTGTAGTTATCTGACCTCTCATGTCACAGCTTTAGCAGATCTCCAACAGCTAGTCACAGCAACACACAAAGATAGGAGTGGATGTTTAATGTTTCAGCACCATGGAGAGTGACACACAGAGAAACCTGCCACTTCTTGCTATATGCCACCCCCTTTCTTCCTTCTCCCTCTCCTCCCTCACCCAAATTTGAACCCATCGTCAAACTGATCCAAGCTGATGCCCCTCCACTGTCCTTTGTAGTCCCGTATTTTGAGCTAATGCCCATTTTTTTCATTTCCTCTGTCGCTCAGTCCTTCACTCCTCTCAGAATTGTAATGCCACCAAATCCATACATTGATCCCAAACATCTTATTACTGGCTGTTCATAATTTATAATGGAGGTGGTTTGCTGATTGCAGTGTCCTTGATCTTATTCAGTAATTTAAGAAAGTGGAGTAAGAATTGACTAGTTCAGGGGGTTTTTTCTTTTTATAATGCAGCATCCTTCTTATTCAATACATGTATTTTTTAGACTATTAAAGTGTTTTGCCTGGTTTGCAAGTAAGATGTGTTCTTGCTATATTATTTTTTGTATATATTTTCTCCCTCAGATCGAAAAGTTGCACAGAAAAGATGCTTGCGTATTCTGAATGTGCACTCTAACCCTCTGAAGCTTTAAGCAGAACCGCTGACAAATTTTATCAATTAGGTAAATCCTGCGTGACCTATTACTCACTCAGACTACCAGATACCTTTCCAGCCTACAGTGTGAGTTTGAAATTGTGCAGAAATCAGCAAGAAGAGGGCTTGTCTCTCAGACTCCTACTCTGCTCTGGTAGAGTGTTGGCCCCACATTTGTCCTCATTAGCAGTAAAATGTCAAGTTTCATTTCTTTCTCCTTTACATGTCTGAATGTAACCATTTGCTGTCATTGAAGCTCAGTCCACTGCACTACAAGTTCATAAAGCATTTAAATGTCACCCTGATTGGCTCTCTGTACTGTGTGTGTGCGTGTGCGTGTCTTTATAGTAACCCGTGTTATAAATAGACTAAAGCTGTGATCCTGTAATAAAATATATGTCCATCTGTTTGATAATTCATGGAAGTCTGCACTTAATCTTAAGCTTAAGCTCTTTTAAAGGACATACCAGACCATTTGCTCATCCCATCACTAATTCCCATTTAGAAATTCTTCTAATGTTATGTATAATTGGTCCTTAAATTCAGACAAAAGCATGCTTCCAATTTCAGTGTAAGCGGCAGCTTTCATGTTGCTATCTAGCTTGGCAATTAAGGCAATAACTACTAAAAAGTTTCATTAATTGGTTGACGATGCACATCTCTAACTGATGTTATAATGTTGTAAGACAGCTTAAGTTAAAATAAAAACTCAAGTCTAAAGTAAAGCATGGCAAAATCTCTTCATCAGACATTTTTGTTTTGTGGTTTAGAGATTTTTTTTTTCTTCTAGCGTCTACAAATTTGTGCTGACCTGGTTAATGGTTCAGTTTGGTTGGACTCGGATAGTTAGAAGTGGATACTGTAAGCAGAAAATCCTATAGAGCAGGACTGAGCTGTGTTAGTTCACACTGTTCCCCCACAAAATAACCAGTATGAAATCAGAGTGATGCAAAATGTGCTGGTTATCAAGGCTTGTGCTGTACTACAGTAAACAAGGCATGCTAACTAACTTGTATTATGCTTCATTCCCTTTCTCTTAGAAAGGCTTAAAAAGCATTCAGTTGTGTTTGTCTTATTTGCACTTGGTTTTAAAATGTTGCCACAACCTTTGTATCCAGTGTCAATCACATGTCCCCAAAGTGTCGAGCTGACTTTTTAAGATTTCTGCTCTGTCTGCTTGACTTCTACTAAGTCGTTTAACCTTTTTTTTTTCATCCACCTGTCAACAGTCAAGTGCAGCATTTGTTAGGATTGGCTTGCAAAGAAATGAAGTGTTTCAAGAATCAATATGGCTGTACGGGCTGTTCTAGTGGTTGAGCTGGCAGGACGAAAGTCATTTGTAAAAGGGCATGTGATGAAATAAAAAGGAAACAACAAACAAAGTTTTATTTTCATTTTTTTTCCTTAAAGACCAAACAGATACAGTGATGTGAAAACGTGTTTGCCCCCTTCCTGATTTCCTATTTTTGTATGTTAGTCGCACTTACTTGTTTCAGATTATCAAATATTAGACAAAGATCGCACAAGTAAACACAAAATGCCGTTTCTAAATTAAGGTGTTTATTTTTAAAATCCCCAAAAGATAGACCAAAAAGTAGGCCACACATCATGCCACGGTCCAAGAAGTTCAGGAACAAGTGAGAAACAAAGTAATTGCAATCTCTCAGTCTGGAGAAGGTTATAAAGCCATTTCTAAAGCTGTGGGACTCCAGTGAAGACGGAGAGCCATTATCCACAAATGCCAAAAACATGGACCAGTAATGAACCTTCCCAGGAGTGGCTGGCTGACCAGCACAGAAATGACTCATCCAGGAGGTCACAAAAGACCTCAAAACAACATCCAAAGAACCGAGGGCCTTACTTGCCTCAGTTAAGGTCAGTGTTCATGACTCTACTATAACAAAGAGACTCGGCAAAAATGGCCTGCATGGCAGAGTTCCAAGACGAAAACCACCGCTGAGCAAAAGAAACTTAAAGGCTCGCCTCAGTTTTGCCAGAAAATATCTTGACGATCCCCAAGACTTATGGGAAAATACTTTGTGGACTGATGAAGCAAAAGTTAAACTTTCTGGAAGGTGTGTGTCCCATTACATCTGGTGTAAAAGTAAGACAGCATTTCAGGAAAGCAACATCATACCAACAGTAAAATATGGTGGTGGTAGTGTGATGGCCTGGGGCTGTTTTGCTGCATGGAGGACTTCTGCTGTCTCCTAAAACATCCTGAAGGAGAATGTCCGGCCATCTGTTTGTGAACTCAAGCTGAAGCGCACTTGAGTTTGCAGCAGAGCAATTATCCAAAACACACCAGCAAGTCCACCTCTAAATGGCTTAAGAAAAACAAAATGAAGACTTTGGAGTGGCCTAGTCAAAGTCCTGACCTGTCCAGTCCTGTCCGATTGAGGATTGAGATGCTGTGGCATGACCTTAGAACAGCGGTTCATTCTCGAAAACCCTCCAGTTGTTACTGCTATGGGTGGCTTAGTTTAGAGAGAAGGTGAGGGTTTATTTACAGTGTGGCACCAAGTGAGAATATCTACTTAAATACAGTGAGACAGATAACACGGGGCTCCAGGGGGTGGAGGGGGGCCCGAGGGGAAGGTCCAAGGCGGGGTACATACACTCCTCTTCAACTTAATCCACAACTCACTCTGAATGTCCACTCCAAAATGCTCATGCTCACTCACACACATCCACAGAAATCCAGACGGCAGGGAATCTAGAAGGCGAGGCGCTAGGTAATGTGACGATCCAGCGAGGAAGCAGCCTCTCTTGCCAACTTAAGTAGTCTGCCAGGATCAGTGTGAATGAGCCACAGGTGTGTGTTCAGAGGCGGGGAATCAAGGTCCAGTTCCACCCTGGTGGGAGAGGCGAAGACAAAAACCACACACACCACGACCTCTCCAGATCTTGAGAACCATGACAGTTTTTCTCTTTTTCACACAGGGCTATGTAGGTTTGTACTTTTCCCCCCATTATATTAAACACCTTCATTTAGAAACTGCATTTGTATTTACTTTTGTTGTCTTTTTCTAAATTTTGTTGATGATCTGAAACATTTAAGTGTGACAAACATAGAAAAAACAGGAAATCAGGAAGGGGGAAAAGACACCTTTTTACAGCACTGTATGTATGTAAATATGTGGCCTACAAAAGACATGTGGCCAAATGTGTGACGTGGTTAAATGTTTGAATCACAGCAGGTCTTGGCGGTTGTTTTAACTTATAATCATTGCTGACCACTTCTGGTCTAATTGCCCGAGATACATTTTAAAAGTAAGTTAAATCAGGCTCTTAGTGTTAACACTGTACACTGTTTCCTGGAGGGGTTTATCTGAGTAAATCCCTCAGGATTATATTGCATTCACATAAAAAAAAAACTTTACCTTTTTTGTTTTGCTGTTTTTCTCCCACACTACAGAAAAGAGGAAAGCCAACATCCTGGACAACCTGAACAACACTAATGGGACCATAATTGGCGTCACCTGTTGCATTGTCTTCATTCTCCTCATCATCTCTGTTATTGTCCAGATCAAGCAGCCACGCAAAAAGTATATCTTGCGACGTGAGGACTTTGACCCCACCATGTTCCAGGAGGTCTTTGAGCCACCTCACTATGAGCTGTGTACGTTACGGAGCGCCACCACACCCACAGCGGCCTCAGCAGACTTAGTCGACCTGGCTGAAGACTTTGAGAACTACCACGCCCTTCGCCGTGCCTCTTCCCGCTGCGTTCACGATCACCACTGTGGCTCCTCCTCCAACCCCGGCTCCGCGCACATATCCCAGCTGTCACTCAGTGCACGAGAGAGCCGGGGCAACTTGAGCGCCCGTGATGCTGCGGCTGCCACTCTGCTCACAGACCTTCCGCAGCCTTCCATGGCAGTGCGGCCGTTGTTGCCGGCCACGGGAAATCGCAGGAGCATCTTGGTCATGAAGCACAGCTACTCACAAGAGGCAGCAGACAATGGATGTGACCTGGACGACGACCTGGAAGAAGTTCCCACCACCAGCCACCGGCTTTCACGCCACGAAAAGGCAGTACAGCGGTCAGTATCCATAGATTTCTGATCAGGGAAGAGCAACAACCCCAGAGTTAACTATGGGGATGTTTTGAGATATATGTGGGATATTTACATTTATTTTTTGCATTCCTTTCATTTTAGCTTCCTATTTTCGTTTATTATTTTGATATTACAATAACCTTTATTTTTGCATTGATCCTTGTTATTTCCCCTTTTTCCTACATTAAAAACATTTTCTCAAAGGGCTGCAATACAAAGGACAAATATGTCTTTGTCCCGTCTTGCATGTTAATCCTTGAAAATGTCAAAAAAAAAACAAAAAAAAAAAAACCCTCTTCCAGCTAGCTTTTTGTGTTGATTCACAGCTTTCCTACTCTAAACTCTACTGTGCTTTGAGGTTTGTCAGAGATCTTTAAGAAGACACAGACCTCAATTTAGCAGATGATAACTCTGTAATCGTCTGGTTTGACAGTTTTCCACAAGGGCTTGAATCGGTGCCTCACAGAGATATTTAATTCACTGACATCTATTCAAATGAATGCAGTTTGCTATAAAATACACATTTGTATTTCTAACTGTGATAACTGAAAAAAAAAGATAACTTGTAATCTCTATCCAGTAGCACATTATTTTGGCATGAGCAAGATTTTCTATAGAAAAAAGATTTTACTCTGTACTTGTACCGTGACTGCTTGAAAAGCAACTGTATATGTTTACAAAATCACTATGTGAATCAGAGTACATTTGTTTTTGGGTTTTTTGGAGGAAAAACTTTAAAAATGCAAGGTTTTCCTGCATGCACTTTCTATGTGCTCTGTGCAGAGTGTTTCCAACTGAATTCATTTTCTACCAAGTCTGCATGCCTGGCTCTCAGACGCCATCAAAGCACTAATGACGTTTATTGCTGTTTTGTAGCACATTATGCATTTTGATCTCTCTATGCAAAAGGAGTTTGATATTAAATGAAAGAGCCATGATATTTCAGGTTCTGCCTCATTGGCTCTTTGAGCAAACATGAATCAGAGTACAACACCACTAGGGTCTAAGAGACAATCTCAAGGTAAGCACCCTTATCCAACAATCAACATCTTTATATGTTGTTGTGTATCCATCGTTTGCCCAGTTAATATATACTTTTATGTATTTTATTTTTCTGTGATTTTTTTTTTTTGTTTTGCGCAGGTTTATATTTTATTTTATTTTTTTATGTTTATGTTTTAATTGTTCATTTTCACCAAGATGGTTTTCTTGCTTGCAGCCATCTTGGCCGTGTTGAGTTTGTTTGAAGTCTTTGTGATGCTCAAGTTTACTGTATGTCCTCTTCCCCTTGAAGGCATACATTAAGTCACTCAGTGGATATTCATTAGCATGGACTTCTCCAATTTCATCTTTAGTTGGTGCTGGTATCAGTTAATATGTCTAACCCCTTCCCAGCTCTCCTTAGTTAGCCTACAGAAAATCATACTTCACTTAAGTTCACATAAAGGCCCAAAAGGGAAAAGCACACACTCAAATGTTTTTATTACAACATCACATTACATGCTTTAAAGGAGGCACATTGAGATGATGTAAATATCCTGTTAGTCTTTCCTTATCACACACTCATAAAGAAGTCCTCTGTAGATTTGCATGATCAGTGGTAGTATTTGATTTTGTGTTTGGTTAATTGCGAAGCGTAGTGTTTATAGCTGTGTGTAACATTTGATGTGCGTATGCTCCTTAAATGTGCTTTCATGAAGTTGCAAAAAGCACCATATGAAACAACGATAGCAATGCATACATTTGAAATGTATGTAACTTTTCTGATTCATATTTGAATTTAATTGACAATTAAAGTTTCATTTGGTTTAAATGTGACTCAACGATATGTAAGATCATGCTTGCAGCTTCATGCCTGCGTAAGATGGGAGTAGCCACATAAAATGCTACCCACTGTTTTGTCTTCTACTGTGAAAAAAATGTGCTGTCCTGATATACATATGTGTGTTTGTGTGTGTGTGTGTGTCTGCTTATGTTCTGCATTATGTTGCATTGTCTCCATCATGTAGACTTCTTGAGAATAGTGCAATCCTGGATCAGTACGAACGGGCGTCACTGACATATGAAAAAACGGAGCGGAGATTTACACCAGCATGATGCTGCTGCTGCTGCTGCTGCTGATGATGATGATGATGAAGGGACAATTTGATGAAACAAACTAAATGTGCAAAGATGAACATGAAGACTAGATGAAACTGCTGCAGATGCAAAGTTTTGAAAATCGTCTCTTTGCTCTACGTTTGGTAGCCAGTGCAGATGTCTCACTGCAGAAGCTTTGGACCTTTACAACAAACATCATTCCTGAACTTTAGATTTGGGACATTTAGAAACATATGTGTCATTGTAGATTCTCAAGTGATCAGGAAATTTCAAGTTTATTTTAAGCATGTATTTTTTTGTAGCATACATGAGTTTGATAGCCAATTATAGGTGCTTGCGGTTTGTCAAATCTAGAAAGATTTACATTAGTCAAAATTGGAATTAAACTAATTACTAACCTAATTGAATTTAATTCTATTGGACAACTGTTTATTTGGTTAACAGCTCAAAGTCCAGTTTTATGACTCCTGCATGCTTCTTCTATACCCATTAAAGCATTAACATACTAACAACTGAGTATGAAAATAACGCATCTACTAACAATACTTAAGTCATACAGGAATAAGATGTGGGTTAAAAGGTGTTTTCAAAATAGATTAATTACACTGCATGTTATTGTGTGGCTGAATCATTACAAAGCAGAGCTCCAATTTCCAACATAATAAGTTCAACTTCTTAAATGTGCTAACTTTCCAATAAGCATTTTTCTTTAATTAATTTTTATTTATTTTTGGCAACTTTGATTCCTTCAAATCTGTTTAACTCCTAATTCTCTTACTTACTGTAGAAGCTTCATATCTTTGTATTAAAACAGGATTTTATACTAAGGCAAATTGAAAAAGTGAATGTTTTTACAGTTACTCGAGTTATCTTTCAGGGCTGATTTTACTGATGCTTTATAAAATAAATAACACTGAAGCTTCACCTTTCCTTTCCCTTTGTTTTATTGGCCTTTGGTCAGTAGTTCCTCTGTCCATTAAGCGTGTCCTCAATCTGTCAGCACACCTCGTTCTCCTCTCACAACCAATTAAATGTTGCTCCTTTTTTTTCTGCCTGACTTGCTTCTGAGGAAGCGCAGACTCAAACCGGAAGGATTTATTTCACCAAGCAGTACACTTCTTTTCAATCTCTGAGAGTTTAAATAATTCCGGGTAATCAAGGTATCTGACAGGCAAGTTAATTGACTTTCTGTGATGCGTTTATCCAACTCGATCAGAAGTGAAGGATTAGCCTTGCACTCGGATAACACTTGCTACTGGCAGGCTGGTTAATATAAGACGACGTGCACTATGTGGAGAGTAAAATAAGTGGATCTGAGCACAGTGACACATGCAACACATTTCTTACTCACTGTCATTGTGTCCTTACCTGTATTTGTGGGAATTTGAATTTACCATCTATGTGTTCATTATTTTTCTGTGTTTAGTGTCATTACTTACATTCATACTCTCCACTATTTTTTTTCCTTCCGCATACACACAGCCATGCACATAAATATTCCTGCAAATAGCGAATAAAATGCTTTTCTTTTCTGTACACACATTTGCACTGCCTGGTCTGTGTGTTGTCTCTCTGCTTCACACGTCTGTCAACAGACATGTTCAGCACAGGTACCATATCCATGCTCTCTCTGTTTTGTGTCTTCTTTACTCTTTCTTTCTCTGAAAATGGACACACACACAAACACACACAGTCTCAAACTCATCCGCCGGTTTATAGATGGAGGCGGACACGCCGCTAATTAAGTAAGTCTGAATCAATTCGATCAAGCAGCAGCAGGAAGCAGATGAGAAAAGTGAAGGGCCCAGAGCGGACTTAAAGTAATAGTGTTTTCATTTCTCTGCAGATACATCAGACAGATGCATCATTCCTCTGCATCTTGCCAAGTTTGACAGCATTTGGAGCTAAGGTTTCTCTCCCATGTGCATCTTGAGTGAACTGTTGTTAAAGAGCAACTTTACCAATGTAGAGTGATGTTATGAGAAAATTCCTTAAATCAAGAAAAAAGAAAAAGGTTTGTGATGTATGAATCAAGTTTTTTTCTTCTTTGCTTTGGACTAGAGGTGCATTTGCTCCCCGCCGGTCTTGGATTGAGCCGCCACGGAGCGCTGATAACTTCAGATATGAGACTGAAAGGTTTTTTTTGTTTGTTTGTTTTTTTAAATTTAGAGTACCTTTAATGTAAAGTGATTCATGGAGGCAAAGAAAAAATGCAGAATCAGGTTTTTACATCATTTTAATGTAACCATGAAAATATAAAATTGCATATTTCAGCTGCTGATTTCACATATTTTCCTATTTTGGTGCCGTGTCTTTACAGTAGATAATCAGGTTGTTTGGTGGGGGGATGTGGTGAAGTGAAGAAGTGACTAATGTTAAACTGCATATATGGGTGCATACATGGTTGTCCCTGCCTTTCATCTAACATCCATTTCGTCTCATTTTTACTGATACTTTTACCGATTCGTTTTCAGTCTCCTGGTCAAAATTCATAGCATTGTGGTATTTTGTTTTTGTTTTGTTTTGTTTTTAATTCATGTGCATTTTTAACTGAAGACACATTAAGAAAATGCTGGACTGAATGTTTTCAATAAACTCATGTTTACTGATTTTTTTTGTGATGACTTATTTAATAAATGAGTACAAACTGAATTAAGTATTATGTTTAGCATGATGTCATTATATATTTTTTGATACATTCTTATGATATTGATATTGGTATCCCATCAGATGTAGGGATGTTGTTTTTGTGTCTCCAGATGGTTGTTTATTGCACTGGATCTATGCTTGGGGTTGTTGTCAGGCATATTGTTTGAGTGATCACACACCTATATGATGATATTGCACAGTGTGGCAACCTGAGCCTTTAAAGTTTAGACAACAATTAGACAACATGCAGAAACTGCAAGGAAGTTCAACTACATCTTCAAACAGTTTGAAGGACACACCCTACAATTTTATTTGTTGACACATTTGGACATTGCACCTTTGTTGGACATTTTAAGAACAGGTATCGGTTAGAAGATGAAATAAGCACATATGATACTCAATGAATAGTGTAATGGTGTAACTGTCTGGGAGCAGCAGATGCACCAAGGCCAGTAAGAGCCATTACGAATTTCAGTACTAAACTTTGGGACAAAAGTTTAAACCATCAAAGATTAACAGTGTCATTTGTACCATCGCCTATCAACCTTTTTAATTTGTATGGATGAAATTTAGGTTATATTTAGTTGTTTTTTGTATATATTGTTTGTTTAATGCTTTTTGTGTTTTGTTTTTAATCAAACAAGCTGCTGCACCACAAGTTTTCTCACTTCGGACAATAAAAGTACGGTAGGGGAAAATCTATGACTACAAAGCTACAATCAGTGATCTGTTTGTAGTATAAGTAATAATTGTTAGTAGTTAGCATGTGGTGTTTAAATGGGAGGATATATATATATATATATATATAGTGAAACAGTGTTTGGTGAAGCAGTGTTTGGGTCATTACTCAAAAAGAAGTAATGTATTACACTTTATTTGTCACTTTTCATAAAAGTAATGGAGTACATTAATTAAATACTTGCCAGAGAACGTAATTTGTTACACTACTTATTACATAACTTTCTCAGTACTCTGTCAAATGACCTGAAAAGCATGGTCACATAATTCCCGGTTAACACACGCACTATCTTTCTTTTAGTTTTTAGGTGTAAACAAAGCCAAAAATACAAAGAAAGATGGAAACCAGCACAGAGAGACTTCAAAAGGATCTTCCCTGTAATTGTACTGTAAAACATGAACAGGAAGAAACTGAGGCTACTAGGCAGAATGCACATCACTACTTTGTTACCTGTAGAAGTTTAGGGTCTGGGTGCTGGGCCGGGTTTAGCAAACACTCAGTTTCAAAATCTTTCTGGGTTCTTGGGTTCTGGTCTTTGCGTTACCATGTTGTCTGTTCAGATGCTTCTAAAGAGCCAAAGTTGTATTAGCAGTATATTGCTCTTGTTTCTATCTTGGATGCAGTTTGCACTTTACCATCACACACTTGTCCTTTTGAAAATGAAAGTAATGTCCACATCTCCACTCCTTAAAAGCTGTATTGCTATATTGCTCCACAACTTTGTCCTCCCACATGAACTGAAATCGCCTGATTGTGGCGAAAGATAAAAACATGTTTGATTGATGTTAATTTTTTCTTTCTATCTGCCCGATGTGAACTGAAGAACCTTTTTTAACATAAGTAACGACACAATTAGTGCTGATTAAGCATTGACAGTATTGAGATGCTATTTTTATTCTGTACATTTTTCGCTTATTATCTCCTTCAACAGCGCTCAACTTAGAAAAACACCATTAGATTTTTCTTCTTTTAGACATGTGTGGTTCTATTTCTGTCATTTCTAACTTTTAGATTTTTTTTAAAGATTCAACTTTATTCAACAAAAATGTATAATGTATTTCAATTGGCAGACTCTTCAAATTCTCATTCAATGTACTCCTCTTTCAACTGCTTCTACATATGTGCACCTAAAGACACCATTCAAACTTTAAAACGAAGCCAAGGCATTGAACTATTCAGCTTTTAATTATCTTTTCAATATCTTTTATAGTTTTTCTTCACTTCCAGTTTAAGATCCATGCTTTCTTCACCAGTTTCATATTTTTTAATGGGTGTCTTTGTTTCAGTGAGTAGACCAACTGCCACAGTGGCAGAAACCTATGACATTATTTTTGTGCCTCGATTCTGAGCGCATGTTAAAAAAAAATTGCAAGCGCAAATGTTGAATTTTGAGGAGAACATTTTTTTGAGAGAAGAAAAGTTTAATTTGAGCTAACAAAATTCATTTCTGTGTGCAAGAAATGTATTTCAGTGTTTGCTATTATCCATATACACACACAATAACAGCCCCTCTTGCTCAGTTGTTGGCATTTGCTCTTGCTCCTTCCGGAAACACGGTCCAGAATGTAGCTAAATCCAGTGGAGTGGTTTGGTTTAAACTAGATTAAAACCAACAATGGTCTTAAAATATATATATTAAAATAAAATAATAAAAAAATACTAACCGAAAATGGACTTAGCTACATTCTGGACCGTGTTTCCGGAATGCAGTAGCTAGCGAGCTGATTGGAGACTGTAACAGCCAACCAGAATTTTTGCATCCAAGTCTGTGATTGGTTCTGTGACACACTTATAACGGTATGCACGGAGCAGAGATGTTGTGAGTGCGAACGACACACTGAGAGCAGATGTCTGTCAGCACACAGAGCAGAGATCTGAGCAAGAGCAAATGCCAACAACTGAACGAGATGAGTCAATGTCCCTGACATAGATCCTTGAATGGCTAGAACTGTCCAAGATCAACAGGACTGAAAGAACCTTCATCACAAAATCAGTGGGGGGTGCAGGGAACAACACTAGAGGCTAATTTAACGCCAGGAGAACAGTCGCCATCAACTGCAGGATCTACCGAGGAGATGTTCTGTTCCAACTGCTGTTTTTCATTGGCCTCAACCCACTCAGTAAAATCATTAACAAGACAGGCTACACACACGAGCCAACTTTTAGGAAAAAGATTTGAAATGTTCAGTGTATGCAACGAAACCCAAACCCTGATCGAATAGAAGACACTTTATTGGACATTGTAAGACCAAAGACAAGAAGAATGCAATGTATGCAGCAAAACCTTGATCCCCAGGAAGGGACCTCATTGGCCGCTGTCCGCCCTAACTCAAGAGCGATGCAGCAAACCCAAACCTAAGAGGGAAAAACCGGGCACCAAATGAGGTGATTCCATCTGACGCTGCCAAGCCAAAGGGTGAAAATAAGAAGAAAATGCAGAAAAATGAAAAACCAAACCCCAGAGCCAGAAGCCCTAGACCCAATCAAGGGCCTTGGCCACATCAGTCCAATGCCCACTTTAAACCCAATAATGGGCCTGGGCAACATTGGCGCAATCCATAGTTTTTACCGAATCAAGGGCCTCTGCAACATCAGCCTAATCATGACCTTAGAACCAATGATGGGCCATCTCAACCACAGCCTAATCCTCACTTAATACCAAATGATGGCAGACGTCCATATAATGAGACTGATGAAGTGGGTGCGCT